TTTTATCGTTAAGCCAAGAAACGCCCAGGCCACTATATGGTAACAGATCTCGTGGTTCTGGTGACTCGTACGGCTTCCCGTCAAATAGTTCCAGCGTCTCCAGCACAAGCTTCAACGGTTTCTATGGAGGAGGCTCTGTCGACTCAAGCGTCAGCGAATATTCTACCACGGGTTCTGATATCGAAACAGTGACGTCCCGTGCGTTACCTATTCCTCGACCACAGGGGTTCGTGGCTGCACCAAGCCAGGTTCCTCCTCCCGCTCAGTCTATGATGAGCCAGTTCAGCTCCAAGATGACCAGCACTGCGCAGAAAAAGCATAAGTGCAAAGTGTGTGACAAACGTTTTACGCGGCCCAGCTCTCTTCAGACGCACATGTACAGCCATACAGGCGAAAAACGTATGTACACTAATAACGTCTTCCTTCAATCCTCGCCCTTTTATGTGTTTTGCGCGAAAGGCATTCTGACTTTATTCAACAGCGTTTTCTTGCGAAGTCGAGGGTTGCGGACGCCATTTTAGCGTCGTATCAAACCTGCGCCGCCATCGCAAAGTACACAAAGATCACGCCCTTTCTGAAACGGGATCGGAAGAACACCATTCAGAATGAGGGTACTTATAATTTAAGGTCATAAGCCTTGTGTCTATAATCATTTCCAGGCAAGGCAGTCTTAACGATGTTACCAAGATCACGCGCTCTTTTATTAATCGATTATACCACATTAAGTATGATGGGGGATGGTTATCCTCTTTGCTCTTTTGTACTTGTTTATTTGCTAGCTTTTGGGTGTCAGCTGGAGTAGGCTTTTCTGTTTTAGGTCCATTGTAATGCAAGGAGATTAAAAGTTAAACTAATATTTATCAGGCGAAGATAGTTGGCAGTTCAGTTTGGATGTAGAAACAGATAGAGAAGCATAAGAATGATGCTTCAGTTAATTTTGCAAGCCACAAAAGTCCCGTTGCTATCTTCCAACCTACGTGTGCCCTCATGGACTGTAAAATCTGCCTTGAGCTGTCTACAGGGATTTGTAACACTTCACAATTGTGGCAAATCACGGAAACATACGGAGCACGTTGTAAACTTTTGTCCTTGCTTTTTAAGTTCGACAATAACGCAGCTGCGCTTGCTAGGTTTTCCAATGCTCGTATTTTGGGCGGCGCATCACTCTACATTACCAGACCAATTATCAAAGAGGCAGAGCTCTTGGCTCGTAAGTAATTGGATGGGATAACCCGAACCCGCAGGCTGGATCTCCACGCCTTTTCTTCGACTTATTGTGAGCGTCCCTCACCAAATAGACGACCACCGGGATAAATAAAGTGTGTCGCAAGTTTTGGAGCTGTTTACGATATGTACAATGACATCAGTGGCGGCACCTAGAGTGTTATTAGCCCCTTCAACCTCTTCCCCCTTTAAGGTCGATTCCCCCGCCATGTACTTTATTTTGTTTCAAAAGTTACCGTATATTCTGTCAAAGGCAAAGTGGAGATGACAAGGCAACTATTATACACTCGGCAAACGGATAGCTTTGAAACGTACGACCAGCTTTACTCAGTGATAGCTGCCTACAGAGACCGCGATTGCTCATCGTTGATTTAAGCCAGGACGATGACTAAGAGGACTTACGAAAACCTCGAAAAACAACGCAACTAAATGGGCTACAAAAAGGTTAGTATGTAAGAGACAGATACTCCGTAAAGCAGTTGTTTCAAAAGGGCGTGGTTATCGTTTCCGTACTTACTGCACAAAGAAATCCAGCTGGCATTTCTTTGCGACGGAAGTACGAAATACTTTGTACTCCGTAGGTCGGACAATTTGTACGGAGTATCCCGTGAGCTCCTCCAGTACCCTAGATGCCGACAACATTCCCCACTTGGCTATCTTAAGAGTTACGTAACGGGAAAACACCAAGATATGCAATTTACTCCGTACAGCAGCATTTAAAGCTTGTTATTTACCCCGGCTGGCCCTCTTCTTTCTCCATAAATTATTTTAGTTTTACATAGTACGGAGTACTCCGTACAGACACCACGTCCAGACTGCACTTGGTTAAGCCACGGCGGCATCCCCTTCATTACAGTATGAGTCGCCATGTAAAGTCTCGTTCTGGATGCAAGCTTTGCAAAGTAAAACGAGTACGGCTCTTCTGAAGTTAGGAACTGCACATACAATTGAGCACAGGGCTAATCTTATTTGACTTCAAAGTTAAAATGCGACGAGACCACTCCTTCGTGCCTAAATTGCACAAAGAGAGGGCTTTCTTGTCCCGGCTATCGACAAACTTTGAAATGGTCTACAAAACACGAAGCAGATTCACGGCAATGGAGTGATAGTGCAAACATCCCTCAGTTCTCTCAACTTGCCCTAGAGGCGGCACAATCGGTTCAGTCCAAGAATAGCGCTATTGGCAGGCGCATAACTACGAAGAATAACAATATGCCGCGTCTTTTGGCTGTCAACCAGTCAACCACTGATACACAAGAGCGGCCACCAAATGCTGTGTTGGTCACATCGTCTCAATGTCGAAGCCATGAAATTAATTTGCAACATACGGCCAGCCACATAACAACCTATTTTACTCACAAGCTAGCAAATGAGCCATTACGACGTCTCGAGTATCGGACTGAAAAGAGAACAGCCGGCGTGAATGACTTCGCATTGGAATTTTGGCGACCAGGGCAATTAATGAGTCCGGAGAGGCAGCTATCTATTCCAGGTGTTTCTCTAGTCGAATTGTGGTTCAAATCAGTCTGCGGTATGTGGGCCGCTTTTGATTCACCGTCGAATCCATTCCGACAGCTTTGTTCGTCACTATGGGCGTCCCATGAGCCTTTATTTTTCTCGCTTCAAACAATGGCTGCGGCCTCCCTGCCAAAACGAACCCCCAACATTGTGGAAATAATTAGCCTGGCCCCTCAACTATCGAATCAGGCCTTGATCAGCGAATTACAATCTTTATTTAGTGACCCGGGCTCTGTAAAGAGTGTTCCAGCGGGCCTTTTGGCGGCCCTTTTCTGCATGAGCTCTTCGCTAAATTGGATCGATTCGAGGCAGCTTGGGATCCAATATCTGCGAAATGCCCGCTCGGTCATCGAATTGGTGGATATACAGGCCGCTTATTTGTCTCAAAATGATAAAGACCTTATTGAATTTTTTCGCGGATGTCTCATTTACGAAGAGATGCTACGGAGTATCGTAACAGATGATGATGAAGATATCCGAGCCTTACTGAATTGGGACGCGCCAATAGGCGCCTTGACAAGCATGAGATTACACCCTTGGGCTGGAGTTCCGATTATCCTCATTGGTTTGTTTGGTAAAGTCATGGTGCTATGCCGGAGGTCACGGAGGCTGTGGCGCCGAACTTCACAGCCAACGTACCATTTTCTTTACCAGTCTATAAAGGACATCGAAGACGGCAAGGCCCTCGAAGAAATGCTCGTGTCTCTTAAAATCCCGTTAGCAAGAGATCAACTTGCTCGACCTGACCAAAGTGGAGACAAGGATGTTGAGGCGCATCTCTATATGGCGGCGGAAGCATTTCGGCTTACTTCGTTGCTGCAACTTTACCAGACGTTCCCGGATCTCGCATCTTTGCACCGGAGAACGCTACCAAAGGGAGACGAGAACGTTGACCGTGAGCAATGGTTGATATTCTACGCATTGCACATTGTGGGCCTCCTCTCCAAAATACCCCCGATCTCTCCCATGCGCTGTCTACAGCCGCTGATCTGTCTCTGCGTGGGGAGCGCATTAAAAGCAAATGGCGTTTCAGTCCATGTCAGGCAGCGGGATATTATGATCTTGCAAAATGGTGTTATCCAAGGCGACATACAGCCTTCGGGCGGCTTATCGGAGTCGCCGAGTTCGGTAGAGATGGCACGTGCAACTATCCAGGAACGACTTTCAACATTAGAAAAGTGCTTGCCGCCAGGACCAATTATTGTCACAAAGAAATTGTTAACCACTGTTTGGTCTACCTACGACGAAATGGGCGACTCAAGGGAAATTCACTGGCTTGATATAATGAAAGACAATGATGTTATAAACGTCTTTGGCTGAAGCATACTCCGTATGCATGTAGCACTCTAGGGCCTTAGCTGCATTTTATGAAGCGAACAGTTATTAGCTCTCAACGAGGCTCTCATTGCGTATATTAGTCTTTTCAAGATACTTGAACTAGTGCAAACACACACGTGCTGTCAATGATATGCAGGTCTAGATAGAGAAGGCAAAGCGTCGTCGCGAAATTCTTATCGAATATGGTATCTTTACATGCCATTGCTGAGAAGTTCTCGTCTTAGTTAATGCATACATGTATCGGGTTAGCCTGACTAAAAATCTGCTATGTACGGAGTAGCTCGCTGGTAAAGTAATCATTGAGAATCCAGGTGTTATCTTACCAAAGCGATTAGCAGTCATTGGACTGTAAGGAGAGAAGACTTCGTCCGAAGCGACGCCCGATACACCAATGGTGACGCACAGTGCATAGCACAGCTAATTCGCTGGTCTGCAGAGCAACCTACGATGTAACTAACCAGTTTATCGACTCGTCTGAAGATAGGAACTCCGTACGGAGTACAGAATTTCGATATGTATGTAATAGATTGCGAGATAACAGCACAACCTTCCCTGTGACCGGCGAGCCAAGGCTTCCGAGCTAGACCTCAAACGACAAAAAAGTCCCGACAACACGCGATTGGTTTGGTAAAACAGACTTCTGATGGGAAATTCCACATGCGGTAGGTACAAGCGCCGGCAAGCTTCCACTCACTGTCTTCAAATAGCTCGCGCTGCCAGGTCTGATTGTTCATTTCGCAGCCCCTCTCAGCTCCATGTGGCTCTGGTTTATCTCTAGATTCACAATCCAAACCTTCTCTTATATCATATTCTCATCAAAAACACTAGTTGCCTATCTGCGGCACCCTAGTCCTCTCGTCTGATACAACACACGCCCCTCTGGATGGCACAGTATAGACGCCTTCAGAACAGCAATCATCATGAACATAGACACGACGTCTATTTCGGGATACACGATCTATCGGGAAGAGGACAATGGTTCCTCAGCAATAGATCCAGTCCCTCTTCCGCTCAACGAGCTGGTCCATCCTCTAGGTCAGTAAATGCGACTTTCGTATGTCAGGTTATGGAGCTAATTTTGTTGTGGCGTATCTAGATCAGCTGTCGATTGAAGAAATCTCACTCGCTGCTAAGATTATTCGCCATTATGCCAATCCTAAGGCTATCAGGTTTAATTGCATCACTCTTCGCGAGCCACCTAAGACTGAGTATACTGCCTTCCGAGATAACCAGAGCTCTCGCCCTGAGCGAAAGGCTTTCGCCATCATCTTGGAAAATGGAACTTCGGTTGTAGCGGAAGTCATTGCCAACCTAGCTACAGCCAAGGTAGAGGTTTGGAAGGTAGTGCAAGATGTCTGTCCCACGCTCACGCTTGAAGACCTCGACGTGACCGAGCGCGTTTGTCGCAATCACCCCGAAGTGGTGAAGGTGTGCCGCGAAATCGGTATTACAGACATGTCGAAGGTCTTCATCGACGCATGGGCTATTGGATTTGATGACCGGTGGGGCCGTGACAGACGTCTCCAGCAGGGCATCTCATACTACCGCAACTCTGCCCTAGACAATCAGTATGCTCATCCTCTGGACTTCACCGTTGTGGTTGATACTGAGAAAGAGGAGCTTCTGTCTGTGGACATTCGCCGTGTCAATGGTGAGCGTACCGCCGTGTCTCTCGCGGCGGACAATTTCCTCCCGCAATTTATCCAGAACAGGTACATCGGCGACAGACTGAAGCCGATTGATATCACCCAGCCGGAAGGGGTGTCGTTCAGCCTCAACGGAAATGAGATCTCGTGGGCTGGATTTCACATGCACATTGGTTTCAACTACCGAGAGGGCATTGTCCTTTCCGACGTGCGTGTGGACGACCCTGAGGAAGGCCGCCAGCGAAACTTGTTCAACCGCATTAGTGTTGTCGAGATGGTCGTTCCTTACGGCGAACCAAGTTCGCCACACCAAAGGAAGCATGCCTTTGATGTTGGCGAATATGGCAGTGGCCTGATGACAAATCCCCTCCAATTAGGATGCGACTGCAAAGGCACCATCCATTACCTTGATGCCGTCATGGCGACGGCCCGTGGCGAGCCAGCGGTTGTGAAGAATGCTATCTGCATACATGAGGAGGACAACGGCCTTCTGTACAAGCATACTGACTACCGTGACGGCACTGTGGTTTCGGCTCGTGACCGCAGACTGATCATTTCGCAGATCATCACGGCTGCCAACTATGACTACTGCTTCTACCACATCTTCACACTGGATGGAACCTACAAGCTCGAGGTGAAGCTGACAGGGCAACTGAACACAAGCAGTATGCATCCCTCAGAGACAGCAGCGCCTTACGGCACGGAAGTCGCTCCACGCATCAATGCCCACAACCATCAGCATATCTTTTCGCTTCGCGTCGACCCTGAAATTGACGGGCCGAACAATTCAGTGGTGCAGACAGATGCTGTTGCGGCCGACGAGCCTGCTGGATCTGCAGCAAATCAATATGGCAATGGATTTCACGCCAAGAAGACGCTTCTTCGAACGGCAAAGGAGGGGGCCACGAGCTACTGCCATGAAACGAGCCGGTCCTGGAACATAATCAATCCCGCCGTCACGACCACTGCATCCGGTGCCCCAGTTGGATACAAAATTATAAACAGCAGTTGCCCAGCGATTCTTGCCAGGCCTGGTAGCAGGGTGTGGAAACGTGCCGCTTTCGCGCGTGAGAGCTTGTTCGTTGTGCCATACGAGGACTACGTGTTGTTCCCAGCTGGGGACTATGTCTGTCAGAGCTCGGGTGAGTTGGGGCACCCACACAACAAGACTGTTCTTGACTGGGTGGAGCAAGACGGGTCGATTGAGAACACCGACATCGTCTGCTACATCCAGTTTGGCTTGACGCACTTTCCCCGTTGCGAGGACTACCCCATCATGCCCTGCGAGCCGGTTGGTGTCATGCTACGCGCCGCCAACTTCTTCAAGCGAAACCCGGTTTTGTGGGTGCCCCCGTCTTCCATGGCCGTGGATACCACCTCGCAGATTGCCTTCTCCGAGCCGTCGAAGAAAATCCCAGCGTGCCATGCTGCCAAGCTCCCGCATAGATTGTGAATAGAACACTAAACAGTGATACGTGATTCGTGAACCGTTAGACTCAGTTTGGACGTTTTTCTATAGCTAGCTAAATTTCCAGACCGAATACAGCCAGATCGTCTCCTCTTCCAAATTTTCTCGTTATCCCCTCGTCCCAACCCTTAGAGCATAGCATGCCAATGGTGGAGCTACCTACTACCTCGAAGACTTACCAGGTGAATAAGTTGTGAAATCCATAGCCATACTCGGGTCGATGGTTAGAAAAGCCTCCATATTCATGGTGCTGAAATCAAAGTTCCAACCGAGGTCTGCTGCTGTCAGATCTGCCGGAGCGTCGGATTTCAATGTGCTTGTCGACGGTGATTCCGTAGACGGCGGTCCGCTGTCGTCTAGACCAAAGGGGGTAGACGTATCGATCGGTGCTGTCATCCGAGTCGTCAAGGCTTCTGCTTCTTGTCTCACGGTGGCGTGTCCGGACGAGAGTGGATTGCTAGTCAGATGCTCCAATCGGAAATCCGGATAAACAGACTGAATCATTCGTTCCAGATTGCTAGCTAGATCAACGGAATGCGGACCCGACCTGGGATTAGGCCTCATGAACTGCAATGCACGAGCAGCTAGTTGCAGCCAAGGGAAGTTTGCGCGGCCGGCGGCCTTGTCTTGTAGCAAGTAGAATGCCAAAACGTGGCTTGCCCCTTCGAGGAAAAATCCATGATACTTGATGTCCTTGAAAGATGCAAATCGTCAGCTCAAAATCTGTTATCGTCTGAATCTGCGGACCGTAAAAGTCAACCTACACGACACAGCTCATTATTCTGACAAGCTCCCGATAGATAGGATATAGCATGCCGGGCCGCGTCAATGCAGTAGTCACAGGCTGTGTCCAACCAGGCCGGTGGCGTCGGCAACACAGCAGGGCCACTGACCGTCGCAGCGTCCTGCTGCAGCTTGGCACGCAATACGAGGAAAGGACGGAATGTCAGTAGCAATGTGTGATGATACACTAATGTGAACGATATGGTCAGCGTATCAGAGGGCCAATAGACATGATTGGCGTGGAAACATACTCGTTGACACCATGGTCTGGCAAACACCAAGCTCGCCGGCGAATGCGTCCCCGACAAGGCCGAAGTTGAGATCCTCAAGTTGTTGCCTTGCGAACTGACGCAATTCGCGCCGGATGTCAATAGCGGCGTTCCAAATGGGTAGTAACGAGTCATGGTGCTGCTTGTATATCCGTGTCACACACTTGGACATGAGTCTAGCAAGAGTCACCAACGACTGAAGCATCTTTTCCTCGCTGGGAAAGGGCACGTCTATGTCGGACTCTGGGAAGGAGCTGGGCCGGCCAAGACTGAAACAGAGCCATCTGTTTGTTAAATGTTAGGAGCAGTATCCCGTCATGGTTAAGACCCCGGCCATCTTACATTTCCCAGAAAAACACACACCAGATCGTTATCCGCCCCTGGCGGGTATCATCCTGAGAGTGTGCGGCACCGATGACATCTTTGTGTAGGCCCGCCGCCACTGCTTTTCTTACCGCAACGCCGGCAAGAAGAAACCCACTATTCGGCCTTGCGTCTTCGGCACAAAAATGCGAGTAAACATGAGTTAGATAAACATGAGCTACATTCCAATCGTGCAAATAAAACCCTGGGACGCTTATGTGTTGGGAGGGGGAGGGGGCAGACTCATCATAAGCAAGGCAATTTGTACAGTCTGTATGTTCACCATATCATCAAGTGAGGCATACCATTTTTTGGCTTTTTGAAACAGGTACTGGGCTGCAGGCTCCTTTTGAAGCATAGACGCACCAATGGCCATGGCAAGCACTATTATAATGGTGTCGGGATTCTCGGTGCTGTACAGCTCCAACGAGCTGTAGAGAAGGTCGAGCCGGTTTCGAAATTCGTCTTGACTCCAGATGGGCAGAGCGTGCCAGTACGTAGTGAGGTATCGGTCCATGAGTTTCCCAGCCATGCATCGGTCCAGAAACAATCCCGGTATGGTATCGGTCATGCGACTGGAATCGGTGACACCGACTAAATCGCCGAAGTAGAGACGCCTACTATTGAACAGGTCTAGTCCTGGACCAATCTCTTCCACTTCTTTCGCTGCATCCAGTCCCGGACGCGTACCCTCAAGTTGATGGTATATAGAGTTTAGCAGAGAAAAGTTTGACGAGGGGCCGTAATAGAGTTGGAGAAATACGGACGGAGACGCGCGGTGGGTTGCAGCTACGCTGTGGTTATGTATGCTGTTTTGAGTGACGTGTCTGACAGGACTACCCTCAGCGGGCGCTGCCGCATCAAGTTGCCCAGGCCCGGCCTCCTGCCCGGCATCGCTATTCCTACTGCTTTGCGACATGGAAAGAATTGACGGCGTAACAGCCTCTTTTCTCATGCGGTTTCGCGCTTTCTTGCGGTATTCGCAGTTGACATTACGCGCGTGGCAGCGCTGGCACGGGCTGCTACCATCACAGCGAATTTTCCTGATACGGCATTCTTCACAAGCCTTTGATATTCGCCATTTGGTCGGGTCCATCTGTGCGTGCCGTGTGTGCACAGGAGAGGGGGAGGAGGAGATGATGACTCGGCTGGTTTTCTTGTTGCAGCTTATGTTTGGCGTGAAGATGGAGGAGACTTGGCGCCCGCATCGATAAAAAACAACGTGCATCTTGCTGCTATCCGGTACACTAGTTGACAGGGGTTGGAAGCACTTAATGGCAGCGGCTTCCATGCACGTGACGACGGGCTTTGTTTTATAATTTTTATATTCAGATCTGCCTTCAAGCATAAGGTAAGAGGTGCCGCCATAAGAAACGCATAATGAATACATACCCTAATAAGTTAAAGTCTTAATACAACAGTACAAACTAGTTTAAGCCTTTATAACTACACATTGCATAAAACAAAACCCTTTATAATGGCTACGTTTAAGCTATCTAACGACGAATCCGACGACGGCTACACCAGCGCCGCGGCAACAACAACAACGCTAAAACAGGCACGCAGGACACACAAGGCACTAGCGGCACTTACGGCAAGATGACACATCGACCTCTTTACTATCCTCGGCACTAACAAGGCCTTATAAGTGATTACTCGCACTACGCGAAGCAGAATAAGGACTACGACCGTTACGAAGAAACTAGGCGCGAAGAACTGCATTTAAGTTATTCTTTTGCTATTAACGCGTAAGACATTAATAAAGCTATTACTACTGCTAAAAATACTATTATAGGCGAAGACGTAGACGTAAATATAAATGTAAGTAGACGTATTACTACTACTAGCAACACTACCTTCAATAAATACTTGTAAGGGTATTCCACACACGCGTCCCTACGCACCGGTTCGGCAATTAGTCGCTTACCAAGCGTCGGACTTAACGAACTATCTTAACACGTTGCATAGGACTAACTAACACAGCTACTTAGCTATGCTACGCCCTACTAGGGCGGCGCTATACTGCATCTTCTAGTTACGTATAAATTAACTAGCAGGCCTTTGCCTACTAGTCTACTATAGTTTATTAAGTTAAAGTCTTAATATAATAGTATAAGCACGTTTAAGCCTTTATAACTATACGTTATATATAAACGCTTATATTCTTTAACTTCCTTTTTATAAGGAGTAATATTCGATTATAGGGCGGCTACTTTGCGATTTACACGCAAACTATTAAAAGTAAAGGATATGCTAATGCCACCCTTTACGCTAATGCACGGCAGCTATACCTTGCTATAAAGGGATTAACTAGAGTGTAGGATGCTAGCACGAATTAGTAATAATTTAGGCAGGCTCGCAGAATAAAGTATATGCGGGCCGCGCAAGGCTTAGCGGGGCCGGAGTAAGGCGTTCGGCAAGTCTCGCCTAGTAGTAGGAAAAAGTATCGCCGAGCCCCGCCGAGGGCGCTAAGCTAGATTCGGCGACCTACGGCGAATAAGCGAAATAACGCTTAGCGAGCTTCGCCGAGCGCCTTAAAGCGTTCTGCTACGCTAGACTGCTATTGTAGCATATATATATTTTGTAAGCGCTTGCTAGTAACGAATTTAAAAGAAGTAAGATAAAGTCTTACTTCTACCCTCTTTATACCTTTTATCTTGCCTTTTATCTTGCTATAAATTGTATGCCTTAGGTAATACTTATTATAATTCTTTATCTTTTTATACTCTTTAAGTTTTATAGTCTATTATAATAGTAGAAGAAAAGAGAGTAACGCGCGCAACCCTTATTCTAAGGCTCTTTGCTAGTAAATTGTTAGCTAGCGTTGCGGCTATATATTTAATAGTAGCTAGCAAGGTAAAGTATAAGAAAGCAAGCTTATTAATAAGTATAATAGCCTTTAATATAAATCTTAACAAAGGTCAATTATAAGATATGCATAGTATAACCCTAGCTGCTAAGTATTCTTTAAAGAACTTAAGCATTAATTTATTAACCTACTTTAATAACTAGCTTAAAGAACTAATGAAGATACTACTAATAATTATAAAAAGATTTATAAAACTACTATAAGGGTTAGTGTGCAATGCGTAGTCACAAAGGCTTAACTAGTTTATACTATTATATTAAGACTTTAACTTAATAAACTATAGAAGACTAGTAGGCAAAGGCCTGCTAGCTAATATATACGTAGCTAGAAGATGCAGTGTAGCGCAACCCTAGTAGGGCATAGCACAGCTAAGTGGCTATGCTAGTCCCGTGCAACGTATTAAGATAGTTCGTTAAGTCCGTCGCTTAGTAAGCGACTGGTTGCCGAACCGGTGCGTAGGGACGCGTGTGTAGAATACCCTTACACTATCCCCTCCCTCCCTAGGTGACGCCCCCGTTAGCCTAAAGGTGTACACGCAGCAGCCACTTGCTTGTTAAAAAACCTCTCCTTATAAAGTTAGGAAAAAGAGTTAAGCGCTCCGGGTTATTGGCTGTCGCCGAGCGGTCGCGGACCGCTTGCTTGTGCGACTATATTCGGGTAACATAGAAGCGCACACGTACTGCTTAGTTTATGGCGGCAGT